TAGCCATTGGCAACAACGGTGATCAGGTATGCACCATAACAATTGCACTTACTTAAACTGCTTTTAGGTTTGTGGCCATCTTACCACCGTTGTCGTACTTGGGAGACTACATTCTCCCCTCTCCACATTGGCCATACTCGCCTTACCCATGGGTATCTCATGGAACGACACCCTATTCCTCTCTGTGAGGTTTGTCGGGTCCCTATTTCGGTTCTTCACTTTCTTGTAGACTGCCCACTTTACCAGCGAGTTCAGAGGATTTACCTCCAACGCCGCCGCTGCCCTACCACTCTTACATTATCTTCCCTTCTTGGAGACAGCCCTGCCTTTGATTTACAATCACTTTTGTCAGCAACTGCTTTACATTACAAACTTTGACACAGGCCCCTTAGTGTCCCTTCCAGCCCTTTTCTCCCCTCACCTCTGTGACCCTCTTCACCTAGCTGTTTATAGCCCCAGCACTATTTACTGCCCCGCAGCACTGTATGACCCTTGTCAGTTTAGCACTTTCTTTGATTATAATAATAATAATGTCCCCCAGGATGCAACCCACACTGGTCAACAAACACCCAGGTACCTACATGCTTGCTAGGTGAACGGGACAGCAGGTGTAAGGAAACACACCCAATATTTCCACTCTTGCAAGGGATCGACCTACAGACACTCAGTGTGAGGTGAGAGTGTTGCCTACTAGGCCACGGGACACTATGAGTATCTGTAGGCCGATCCCTTGCAAGGGTGGAAACATTGGGAGCATTTCCTTACACCTGCTGTCCCATTCACCTAGGAAGCAAGTAGGTATGTACCTGGGTGTTAGTTGACTGGTTCATAAATTTTGTGCTGCAGATTATATAGGCCTAATGAATTACCTGAGTAGTGTAGATGAAGTAATTTGACTAGGAATTATCATGAGGGATGCCAGATTAACAGTGGTGATAAATGTTAGTATGACATCTTCCAAAGCAATATACAAGCTACACAAACCTCATATATTTCTAACAGATAAATTAATGACCATAAATGGATAAATAAAAGACTAAAGCATCTCTTCAATTAAAAAAAAAAAGAAAGAGGCATTTACTGGTGAATCAAAGAGACAAATGTCAACTTACTTACCAATAAACTCAATTTAAGAGAGAAGTCAAAAAAGGAATAAGGAAAACCAAAAGGGAATATTAAACTGAGGTTACAAAAGGCTTCTTTCAGGTATAAAGAAATAAGATTAGGGAAAATATAGGCCTACTTAAATGTAACTCAGGTCAGTTTACAGATAGTGACAAAAAAATGTGCATTACCATTTTTAACCTTTATTTCCTCTGTTTTTACACAAGAGGATACAAAGAAAATCACAGATACCACTAATTGTACAGGTCAGGATGAAAATAAATATTGTAAGATCAAAGTCACTAATGACTTAGTCCTTAAACAACTAAGATTGAAACTAAGCAAGTTACTGGGCCCTGACAAGCTGTTTTCAAGGGTTTACCTGGAGGGTTCTGAAGGAATGTAAGAGGAAACTAAGCAAACTATTACTAGTCTGCTCAACAGATCACTGTAAATGAATATCATAGCAGGTAAGTGGAATATGGCAAATGTGATACCCATTTACAAAGTGGAGACAGATCCTCAGCTTCAAATTATGGACCAATCAGCCAAACCTCATTGTGTGTTAAAGTTGATAGAATCAGTAATTGTGGCTAAGAATTCAAAGCCATGTTGAAAGCTATAATTTGATCAATGAATCTTTGCACAGTTTTGCAAAGTAATGAATTTACTCACCTTTTTTCACTAAGGAATTTGAGGTGGTAGACCAAAATAAAGATTACAATATTGTGTATACTGACTTCAGTAAGGCCTCTGATGGCATTCCAAACAAAAGACTTATGAAAAAAAGTAGCAGCATGAGATATAGGGGGAGAAATTATTACCTAGGTTGAGTCATGGCTTAACTTGTTACAAGTCGTGTGCCATAGGGGTCAGTATTGCGACCCCTCATTGTTTGCATTCTACATATTATTATTATTATAATCAAAAAGAAGCGCTAAGCCACAAGGACTATGCATTCTACATAAATGACGCAGACGAGAGAATAAATAGCAACATAAATTTGCCAGTGACATTAAAATAGGCTATAATTTCTAATGAAAACACTAGTAAGTTACAGGATGACCTGGACAGGTTGATGTAGTTGGAGAAGTGGCAGATGCTGACAAATGTAAAGTTCTAATACTAGACAAAGAAAATAACTAATATATACTGCTTTGAAATTGGATCCATCTTTTTGAAGCACCCTGTATTATACTTATAAGCTAAATAATGTATATCTTAGTCAAACTGAATGCAAAAAAGATCTAGTTCTGGCTAGCAGAAATTTAAAGTCAACACAAGAGTACATAAGTATTCACAATAAGGTTAAGAGAGTTCGTAGCTTCAGTATGAATAATGGTAGTCCTAAAGTTATACTTCAACTACATATAATCTTTGGGAAGGCTTCCTTTGATTATGCCCCTTAGTTCTGTTCTCCATGTTACTGAATGGACATAAATGCACTTGAAAATGCATAGAGAAGGGTAACAAAGTTGATCTCATGTTTCAGAAACCTTTAGTATGAAGATTAAAAAAAATAATTTTTAATTTATTTTTTTTATTTCTTATCAGCCAAACAGGATTTACAGTTCATATTCATAATTAGATACAAATGTAGCCACAGAAGAAAGACACTAATTATGCACTGCATTTTGGGCAATCATAAGGCTTACATACTACTAAAATTTAGATCTGTTACAATATGCAAGACATTGATTATCAGTATAGTTTGTGTAAGCCAGTACAATCTTGTGACCTGGTGACAAAAGCTCTCGCTTCACACACTGAGTGTCCGGGTTTGATTCCTGACAAGGATAGATTATTATTATAATCAAGGGGGAAGCGCTAAACCCGGAGGATTATACAGCGCCTGGGAGGGGGGGGATGTGGAAGGCATTCAGGCTTAATTCGGGGAACTGGAGCACAGATCCAATTCCCTAAATCAAGAGCCCCTCTGACAAGGATAGAAACATTAGGTGTTTTTCCTTACACCAGTTGTCCATGTTCACCCATCAGTAAAAATGGGCACCTGGGAGTTAGCCGGCTGGTGTAGGTCACATCCTGGGACAAACTGACCTAATTTGCCGGAAATGCTCTGCATAACAAGCGGCTTTCTATATAGTAGTATGTCATTGATGTCAGGTAGGCCTGTATACCCTGTACATGTACTTAAAGAAATAAAGATATTATTATTATTATTATAGATGTTTACTTGGCTGAGCTAGTAGGCACTGTGCCTATTTATAGGGGAACTTTAACCTAGCATACGTTTTTACTATATTATGAAGTATCACTTCACCAGATATGGTATACAAATCAAAGGTTATTCCTAGATCCTTCACTGTGGGTGCTGTTGAAATGAGTTCATCATTGCACAATACAGTACCTTGAAAATATTTACTTGCGTGAATTTACAGTTTGAGCCAAATGTTGTAGTATCGGTTAGGTTTCCATAAGACCAAGGGACAGTGTACTAATAAAAAAAAAAAATCGTTGAATACATGTCATAATTTCCAATGATGATGATTATAATAAAAATAATAACAATAATAATAATAATTAATAATAATAATAATAATAATAATAATAATAATAATAATAATAATAAATCTTTATTTCTATAACTATGATACAACTGATACAGACTTAGCTGAAGTCAGTGGTATACTATATATAGACAACATCTCTCTATACATATATAGAAAGTTCTCTACTGTCAGTAGAGAGCACTGTCATCTGCTTTTAATATGAGCTGGCATTTATCACAAATGGGCATTTTCTTTACATTGCACGAGACGAGTACGGGCCCCAAAATACTTTCTTGTGGAACTCCATGTCTCATCGGCAGTTCTGTTGTCGGGTCTGTGATGTGTAAAGGTACACATAAATACAATTACATAAATTATAATAAATAGCAGCATATGTATACATTACCTAAGATAATCCAAAAAAGACAGACCTCACGGATGGACTGTTAAGTTAAAATTTTGTTCGGATTTTTAACGGAGAGCTAGTCAACCCAATCCAGTATGTCAATGGGAACTGTTTGTCTTATTACCATTGGGGTCCTTTAATCTTGCCCCCAGGATGCGACCCATAACAATCGACTAACACCCAGGTACCTACTTACTGCTAGGTGAACAAGGACAGCAAGCGTAAGGAACCCTGCCCAACGTTCCACCTGTGTCAGGGATCGAACCACGGACACTCAGTTGTGTGAATCGAGTGTACTATCAACCGAGCCACAAAACACCATGTTCTGAATGATACTCTGCTCTAAGTTCATTTAGGTACAATTACACATCAGTAGAATTATACATAGCAACACATGTACAAATTACTTAAGATAGCCCGAAAAGTCAAAGTGACTTATTTCCATTGGGTCCTCTAAATGATAAACTGTTGAGTGACAGACTTCTGCAGGATATAATGCTCTGAATGCCGTAAGGCTCTGGATAACGGACTGCTTTGAGTGACGGATTACCTCGAATGATGGCTTGCGTTGAATTGATGAACTGCTCTGAGTGTTGAACTAACCTGAACGATGAACTGCATTTGATCACAACGAAGTTACCGAATCGTCAGTTAGTCAGGGAACCTCTCCAATACCTTCCTATTGGCAAAGAGTTCTAACTATCAGGAAGCACTAACCAAACATAATGTACAAACTGAACCTAAACTAAGCTAACTTAGCTGAAACCAAACCTAAATTCCGTTGCTGGATAACCCGTGGCTATATTTTAACAAGTCGCCGAACCTGCCGCCTGGATAACCAGCTGATTTCGGGAATTTGAAACATCGGTGACTTCGCCGGTCACTAGTCATGAATTAGTTTTGATGATGAACTGATTGAATATGGACCGTTTGAATATGAACCGGCGTGAATGGTGGACCAGTCTGAATAAAAGACTGACCTGAATATGGACCAGCGTGAATGATGGACCAGCCTAAATGATGGACTGGCGTGTATGATGGGCTGGCCTGAATGGTGGACTGACCTGACTGTGGACCGGCCTGAATGATGGACCGACCTAAATGATGAACCGTCCTAAATGATGGACTGGCCTAAATGATGGACCGACCTAAATGATGAACCGGCTTAAATGATGGACTGGCCTGAATGATGGACTGGCCTGAATGGTGAACTGACCTGAATGTGGACCGGCCTGAATGATGGACCGACCTAAGTGATGAACCGGCCTAAATGATGGACTGGCCTAAATGATGGACCGACCTAAATGATGAACCGGCCTAAATGATGAACTGGCCTAAATGATGGACTGGCCTGAATGGACTGCACTGAATGAATAAGCATTGAAATGGTCCAAGCGATGGAATGGTTCAAATAACGGAATTGTCCATGTAGTGGAATGGTTCAAACAGTTGAATGTTTTAAGCAATGGAATGGTCTAAGCAATGGCATAGTCCGCCTATCAAGGGAGGTTCCTTGATACTGGCGAAGGGTTCTTGGTCCAGGGAATTAAACCCAACTTCTTCCTTGGATTGAACTGTTGCATAAAGGTAAAAGATCTCATTTCCCCAGGCGCTGTATGACCAGTATGGAGCTACTGCTACCCATGGATGAAATACTAATAATGGAATGGACCTGGAGTTCATTACCTTCGTAACTTGCTCTGCTATCAAAACTCTGGGGCCCAGTCCCTGGACACATTATGTACTCTCTAATCTTTTGACTACAACCCACAGGATGGGTATGGGGTGCATAATAAATATATTAAAGAACATAAAATCCAAGCAATGGTATGATTAAAGCAATGGAATGGTTCAAACAACAGAATTGTGCAACTAATGGAATGGTCCAAGCAATGGTATGATCAAAGCAATGGAAAGTGTCAAACAACGGAATGGTCAAAGCAGTGGAATGGTTCAAACAATAGAATGGTTCAACTTCAAAAAGTTGGAATGGTTCAAGGAAATGGAATGGTTCACGCAGTGGAATTGTTTAATCAAATGGAATGGTTAAAACAATAGAATGGTTCGACTTCAATCAGGGAAAATAACGGCTCAAGCAAATGGAATAGTTTAAGTAGCAGAAGTTGGTCAAGCAAATGGAATGGTTCAAGTAATGGAATGGTAACAGAATGATTCAAGTAAATGGAATAGTTCACACAATGGAGCGGTCTAAGCTATGGAATGTCCTAAGCAATGGAGTGATTTAATGGTTCAAGGCGAGGAATGATCTAAACTATGGAACAGTCCGAGCTACGGAATGGACCGAGCCATAGGACGGTTCAAGCTATGGAATGGTCCTAGAAATAGAAGGGGAAAAAAAAGGTTCAAGCAATGGAACCGTCCAAGCTGCTGTGTGTGGGGGCCAAAGCTTGCTAACACACACACATGGACAGATGTCACCTCGTGGTATACTTGTAGTTACCTTGTAGGAGGGCTATGTGGGAGAGAGAGGGGCACAGTAGCCTGGTGGAGGACACACTCGCCCTCACTCATGACCCGCTGCACACTGGTCTTCCATTGGTGCCGGGAACCCAAAAATTAGGATGTTGTACTCGATACACATACACCAATACATTTTTACCACAGCTGCATTTCCTAATATACATAAGGAAGACAAAACATACGGCACTCTTTATGGGAAAACGCATACGATACAATGTTGTGTTTAGAGGAGAATGTGTTAATTGTGAGTATCGTACGTAGATTGCGGAGGGCGCGGCTACAGATATTGATCTGCGTCCACGGTCTTGAAACATAACTAGTATTCCTGCAGACATCATTTGAATATTATGGTTGGCTCATAATAGCATTTACCCGAAATGAAATCGATTTACGAGTCTTTGGAGTACCGTGGAATTCTCAGCAGCGTCGTGCAGTTAACAAAGGAATTGCAGAGGGCTGAAGTGCTAAGCTTGGTCCCAGGACCAAGGCTTGCTAGGTCAAATCAAAGTCACCTGACACTGTAAACTCTGATATTCATTTTCATTCATATTTGTCATTTTTACTGCATGGTACAACCAGCACTATATTCTACCTGACTTCACGTTGACCTTAGTTTAGTGAGGGTAGCTTATATTGAAGGACAAAAAAAGATGTATTTTTTCCTGATTTTTTTGGTTTGCACCTTGCCCTTGAGTGTCACTGGTGGTCCCTGTTACCAGGATTGTCTCACAACACTCTTACCTTGACCTCGCTTGACCCACCTTACGTCATCCTCTCCCGCATCTCACACGCTTACCAATATTCCACTCGATACATAGATTACCCTAAAGCATACAGATCTCTCTCTCTCTCTCTCTCTCTCTCTCTCTCTCTCTCTCTCTCTCTCTCTCTCTCTCTCTCTCTCTCTTCTCTCTCTCTCTCTCTCTCTCTCTCTCTCTCCTCTCTCTTCCTCTCTCTTTAATTGGATGCAGTAAGCGTAGGCGGAGTCTGTATGGGCGGAGAACATATGTTGGTGGAGGTGCTGGTGTGTGTAGGCCTTTTGTCATACTTGCAAGCTATGAACCAAAGTTCTTGGACCCATCCTTACAGCCATTAATCGACTGGTGCATGTAATTACATATTTATAATTATTACCTGTTTGTAACTAACTATATTTGTAATTATTATCAATAATTACCTATTTGTAGTTAGAGAAGCAATTAATAATATCTTTATTTACTACAAGTACATGTACAAGGTATACAGTCCTGACATCAGTGACATACTACTATGCAGAAAGCCACTTGTTATGCTGAGCATTTCGGGCAAATTAGGTCAATTTTGTCCCAGGATGCGACCCACACCAGTCGACTAACACCCAGGTATCCGTTTTTTTGGGATGGGTGAACATAGACAACCGGTGTAAGGAAACACGTCCAATGTTTCCACCTCTTCGCCGGGAATCGAACCCAGGCCCTCACCTTGTGAAGCGAGAGCTTATGCCACCAGGCCACGGGGCTCGTGGTTTCCCGTTTTTAATACTTCGTTCATCATATATAATTTAAAAAAATAACTGGTTGCAGCGCTTATTAATTCCTCCTTTAATATATTCCACTGGTCAACCACTATTTGAGAAAAAAAAAATCTATCTTTTTCACTCCACTTTTTCCTAAATTTTTTCTCATCTTAATCATGTTGCAGCTATTGAGAAATTCTCTGTATCTACTTTTTCAAGTCCTTTCAAGACCTTATATGTGGTTATCATGTCTCCGCTTTTCGTTATGTCAGCCAGCATGTCAACAGTAATATTTTCAACCTTTCATCAAAGTTTATATTGTTCAACTCTGGCAGCCATTTTGTAGCTCTTCCTTGAACGTTTTCTAACTTATCTATGTGTATTTTTCAGGTGTGGGCACCACACAGCTGCTGCATATTCCAATTTTGGCTTAATGTAGTTTATAAACTACTTTCTTAACATTCACCATTCATACATTTGGAATGTGTTCTATAGTTTACCGGTGTAGTATACAAGTTTCTCGTAATTTTATTGATACGATATTCCTGTGCTGTGACAGTTTTTTTTATTAATAATTACTCCAAGATCCCTTTCTCAGTCTAATACTTTCAGTATTTTGTCATACAGGTCTATATTTTTCATGTGGTCTGATTTCACTTTTTACATTTTTATTACATGGCATTTATCTACATTAAATTCCATCATCCAGCTATTACTCTGTGCTCAATTTATCCAGATCCACTTCTGAGGTCATCTGCAAACATATTCATATTAATATTTATTCCTTCTGGTAAATTATTTATATAAATTAGTTCCTTTGTATATAAGCAAAGGGGACAGAAGAGAGTGCAGAAATTATAGAGGAATAAGTCTGTTGAGTATACCTGGTAAAGTGTATGGTAGAGTTATTATTGAAAGAATTAAGAGTAAGACGGATAGCAGATGAACAAGGAGGCTTTAGGAAAGGTAGGGGGTGTGTGGACCAAGTGTTTACAGTGAAACATATAGGTGAACAGTATTTAGATAAGAGTAAAGAGGTATTTGTGGAATTTATGGATTTGGAAAAGGCGTATGACAGGGTGTATAGGGGGGCAATGTGGCAGATGTTGCAAATGTATGGAATAGGAGGTAGGTTACTGACAGCAGTGATTGAGTTTTTACGAGGATAGTGAGGCTCAGGTTAGAGTATGTAGGAAAGAGGGAGTTTACTTCCCAGTAACAGTAGACCTTAGATAAGGATGTGTGATGTCACCTTAGTTGTTCAATATAGTATTTATAGGCAGGGCTGTAAGAGAAGTGAATGCTCGGGTGTTGGCAAGAGGTGTGGGGTTAAAAGACGAAGAATCTAACACAAAGTGGGAGTTGTTACAGTTGCTCTTCTCTGATGACACTGTACTTTTGGGAGATTCTGAAGAGACGTTGCAGAGGTTGGTGGATGAGTTTGGTAGGGTATGAAGAAAAGAAAATTAAAAGTATGGTATGAAGAAAAGAAGAAAATTAAAGGTGATGAGGATAAAAAAAATTAGGTAAAAAATGATTGGATATTAGATTGGAGGGAGAGAGTATGGAAGAGGTGAATGCATTCAGATATTTAGGGGTGGATGTGTCATCAGATGGGTCTATGAAAGATGAAGTGAATCATAGAATTGATGAGGGGAAAAAGGTGAGTGGTGCAATGAGGAGTCTGTAGAGACGAAAAACTTTGTCCATGGAAGCAGAGAGGGGAATGTATGAGAGAATAGTTATACCAACGCTCTTATATGGGTGTGAGGCATGGGTGATGAATGTTGCAGCAATGGAGATGTCATGTCTGAGGGCAATGTGTGATGTGAATATAATGCAGAGAATCCATAGTTTGGAGAGTAGGAGGAGGTGCGGGAGTACCAAAACTATTATCCAGAGGGCTTAGGAGGGGTTGTTGAGGTGGTTCGGACATATAGAGAGGTTGGGACAAAATAGAATGACTTCGAGAATGTATAAATCTGTAGTGGAGGGAAGGCGGGGTAGGGGTCGGCTTAGGAAAGGTTGGAGGGAGGGAGTAAAGAAGGGCTTGGACTTCCAGCAAGCATGCGTGAACATGTTAGATAGGAGCGAATGAAGACATA